CAATATTGAGATAACTTTTCTCACTAGCAATTCCTCAGCTAGCACCAGCTTCATCATGTGAGTAATAATGGACAGTTCCAATGTCCTCTTTTGTTCCTTTCAGTTTGCACAATTATCCAATAGGCAGCGTAATCTTGACTAGCCAAAATGGCAATGAGCTGTCAGACTTGTGGAATCTGTTCTGTGTCAAATCTAATTCCCTTCTGACTCCAAATATGTGATGCATGTTTGCTTGTTTTAAGCTTCTCTTGGATTCAGTGTGCTGCAGGATAATGTAAAACTAACCCAGCCTGTCTTCACTTTGTACCAGCATTATGAATATCTGCCCAGACTGATTTGGACATGGTATAACACGTTTCTTCTTCTAGCCCACTCTCGTCCCATATTTTATTTTTCACTGCATATATTGGCAGATCTTTTTTTCATCAAAAAAAAAATCACCATAGTTGGCAGAAATTATTTCTGGAACACACTCTAACACTACTAACGCTTATTTAATTAGGATTGTGCCATGGATGTTTCCATATAATATTATAATAGCAACAGAGCCATATACATTTGTATTTGAAGCATGTAGATTTGCAGTGTTAGTCTATGAAGACATGAGCAATTGTGCAGTTGCAGAATTCTCTGTAGTATTTAACTAAATGTTCAAAATCAGGATTTACTGAAGTTTCAGAAAATTATTACTTTGATTGCTTGTATAAATAGGGGAGCCACATTAATTCTCTTTACTATCAGCTTCTTAATTGTGCAGCTAAATGAATAACCAAGAAAAATGCTAAGTGCAATCTTATATATACATTATGTGCACCAAGACAATGTTGAATTTACAGTGCAGAGAGAGTTGGCCAGATGCTGCCAAATGTTGAAGCAAAGCTAAGCAAACAACTGCAGTTATTTAGGAATGCAGATTTTGCTTTTCCTGCAGTGCTTGATTAGTCTCAATGAGTTTTTTTGTCCTCTTGTACTTCAGCTAATATGTACAAAATAAAGGTGTTGCAGAAAGCATAGAATTTCCTTTGGATCCTCATGGAAAAAGGCCTGGCTCTCATTAAGAGTGATTCAGAGCTTAGTTTGCAGCTTGACTGTAGCTGTTCCCTACAATGTATTTATATTTCTACAAAAAGTCCATAAAACTTTGGTTCCTCTTCTCATACTTTATATCCTATTGGGCTTTGCAGACCCAAGCAGCAAATGCTGGGCAAAGGCTTGCTGATTCATTCTGCTCCACTATGCCAGATAGAAAATGTGATGTTGCAGCACCTTCACAAGTTTTGGAAGAGGAACAAAGATGAGCCACCTATTGTTGGACACTTTTGTACTGCATCTCTGCCTGTGGATAAAAAGTAAGCAAGAAATACTCTTTTTTTCCTAGCAAGAAAAGTATTGAGAGATTCTTTGTTTGAATTTTAATTTATTTGGGGATAAGTTAATTAAGATGCATTTGAAGCATTTTCCTTGTTCACTTGTCTATATGGTATGTATTTATTTTAAAATATATGAGATTCGAACTTGGTTTGCTTTTAGCTTAAACAGTCTCAGAAGTGCTGGGCAGCTCCAAGTAGCACCATTTCCTTTCCTTCATTCGTCTTTTTTGAAAGCAGTGGTAAAATCATTTTTGCTTGTACCAACTGGCATAATATTTGCTTGACATGACGTCAGCCCTTATCCCATCACCATGACTATTGCCTAGCAGTAGCATTTGTATTTGTTGCATGCAGGAAAAGTTAAGAAAAGGGATTAGGGATTGCCTTGGCTTCCTTTCCACTCATGAAATGTCATAGCTACCATTAAAAATATCCACCACTTGCTCTCCTTAACATGAGTTGGTGGTGGGGCTGGGGGAAAAGGCAAGAACAAGCAAAACTGCCATAATTTGTTCCTTGCCTAAATTAAGGCCCAATAAGGACAATTTAAGGTTCTTCAAGTATGAATAGTGAATAAGATGAAATCAGTTTCAATACAACAGAAACCAAACTTAAAATTAAGGATTAACATAAATTGATTGATCTCCATTTCTTCATGTTACCACTGGTAATGTTGGTTGAAACTGTCATCCTTTCAAAGGCAATTTAGAAAACAACCATTAAGGAGCAATATATTCCAGGAGTCATTGTCCCCCCCCCCCCCCCAGTGTATCCTTATCTTCTTGCCTTTTACTTTTCTTGATGTGCCTTTTCCCTTGCCAGCTGAAATACTTCAAGTTTTGAGAAGCTGCTGTTTTAAGGGGCAATATAGCCTAACATCATATTAGATCAATATATTCTTTTACTTGAGAAACATAAAGAATGGCAGAGAAATAGATTTGGGAATGAAATAGATTGGAAGAACTAAGTACATAAAAACTAAGCCCAGGTGCTTAATTAATCTATTTTGCATATAGCCAAAAACTCCAAACTTATCCTCATCCCATACTCCTAAGGCGCTTTAGTGAGCAAGGGCTATTGTTTGCAAGGAAAAGGTTGCTAACCTCTATTATAAAAGGTAACACATCTTAGCAAAGATAGCCCAGGACTGAAAGCCTACCTCTACCACCACCACAAAAAAAGCGTTCAGACAAAAGAAATTATTAAAAATGTCATAGGGTAGAAAATTATCTGCTATTAATTCAAAAAGGCAGGCTGAAGAATTTCAGTTCTTTTTGTAAATTATTATTGTTGCATGGCAACTTACCAAAAATGCATTAAAAGCTTAGTAATATCCTTTAACTTTATTCTGTTCTTTCTTCAGTGAGAAGATGATGTGCTTGCCACAAGTGCTGACTATTACAAGTCATAACCCACTTCTTCAGAACCTCAACATTCAGTGTGATTAACCCAGTTTTCCCTTGTGGACACAGATATTATAAGGGGGCTATAACTTTGAAGGTAGATATTTTAAAATTAAATGTATGGCGTTAAAAAAAAATAATGTATTGCCTGTCACAGAAAACTTGCTTTACGTCAACTGCTAATAATTTAAGCCTGTTTTTAGTAAAAAAAAAATTAAATAGTTTTACAACTATGAAGAAAATAAATACAATGTATATAAAATGGAACAGCATCTAATTGAACAGGACCTGTTATTAACAAATCTGGAGTAAAAATAAATAGATTCTGCCAGAAACTGGCTGTATGTGGTGCCAATTGTTTTAAGTGCTCCCTATATATTACTGTCCCTTGTAAATGCAGTTCTCCCTTTAGAAGGAAGCAAATGGGATGTTTTCTTGATGAACTTTCAGGAGTGGGAGGCCATTATCAAGGAAGAGGGTATTTCATGAATTTCTCTTCTACTGTGTATCTCCATTAGCACATTCAACTCAGTTTTCTGACCCATTAGATCAGGGGTGTCAAACTCAAGTCATCACGGCGGTGTCACATGATGTATTGGGACTTTTCCCCCCTTCGGTAAACCAGGTGTGCGCGTGGCCAATGCTGGATGTATCTGGCCCGCTGGCTGGGAGTTTGACAGCCCTGCACTAGATGAAGACTTTACACAATGCAGGATAAACTTTTTCCATTTGTATCCCAAGTAGCATTTTGCAGTAAATGTAAGCAAAATTCTGCCTCTTAGTCTAAAATCTTTACCCAAGACAACTGGCATGTTAAAAATATAAAGATTTTCTAGATCATATTTCCTAATTCAAAAAAAGAAAAGCATAGAAAATGGACATATACATGTTTTGTCTGATCTTCACTCCTTTTGCCTCAGCAAAATCCTCTGGTATTAAAATAAAAACATCAGAATTGGTTACCAAACTTGGCATCACTATTTTATTTTGTAAAAATGTTTTTGTAGGTTTTAAAAGCAACACCCTCAAAACTGTTAACAGTAGAACCTTTGCCTTTCATTAATAATGTATAAAATAAAGTTTTGATTTAACTTTCCATTCACTTGGGCTTCCTAGTGTAAGTCTTTTCATCGCACCAGTGCTTTCTGAAGAGAACTTGATGTCACTGAGGACAATGCTATTGAAAAACAACTTCATTTCTGTCATGCAAGTTGGATGAATTATTGAAACTAATAGCAGCATATACTGTATGCTTCATCCTCTCAATTCATTGCATCCCTACAGTTGGTATATTATCCAATGCAGGAAGAAGGAAGACAGTGTTGCTATATTAATTTATATCCTGATTTTCTCTCCATAAGTTACTCAAAGCAGTTAAGGTAACAATTAAAAGCCAACACTTAAAATATTATAAATCACTATATAGATCACTATAAACTAGCACAAATTGGAAAGGGATGTATTGACTCTTTCCAAAGACCAATTGGAAGAAAAAGGAAAGCCTTTTACTCTGTGCCTAATAAATAAAACTTGGAAAGATGATGCATCTTCAAGAGAATTTCTCCAGCTGATATTACTTTCTCAATAGATTCATCCTGTGGTCCCTAGATAGTTAAGTTGTGAACTGTTTAAAGGCAAATTCTTAAAACTTCACCCTGAAAGTGCAGATCTTGTATCACAGTTATAATGTGTATCTAGTATTATACACCAGATAGCAGCCTATTTGTTGAATGTTATACCAACTGAATCTTCCAGGTAGCTACTCTCAGCCTGGGGGTGGAAAGTTAAATATTTAAGTTCTGTGCAATCGTAGGATGCCTTTGTGAAGAATATAGCTTTAGTGAGAAGAATGACTCCTCACATTGGCAAGCACACTAATGATAGCCAAAAATGGAAGGAACAAATGAAAGATTGTTTTCTTCCTTCTTTGATTTGTGAAAGAAGAGAATTAATAGAACCTCCATCATGTTCCATGAGTTAATTATACCATCATAATTCCAAGACATATAATATATTTAACATATATCAAGTGTTCAAGAATACAAACATCCAGGTGCCAGAGCAGATCGATAAACTCTGGAAAATATCCCATCACTGCCTCTCTGTTCTATGTATGTCTTTCATGGTGCATCATATGGACAGAAATTTTATATATATTTTGACACACAAATAATGAAGGCTATCGTGATTGGTGATCAGTGATCTGATTGCTTCATGCAGGTCTTGGATTCCCAATAGCTCTTCTCTAGAGTTCTGGGGTCTGAGTTGGAGCCAGAGGGGCTTGTCCTTTTGCAAGGGCAGGATGATTAGTCCTCAGGTGGTTTCCCAAAGCTGTGTGAAAGAGAAGCCATAATTATTTATAAGAACTAGCTTATACCTATATGTCCAGTTTTAAAGGAAACAACTCCATTGCCCAAGCTAACATCCTAATGTTTCACAAAGTCTTATCAGTGTAGGTGACGACTTGGCTGAGCCCGAGGGAAGGATCAAGCGCATCATCAGCCTTGGATCCCTACATACCCACAAGAGATCTAAATCCAGCCCACCTTGAATACACGGGCAGGGGGGAGAATAAATCTGGCATCTCAAGGAGAAAAGCTTTAGAACTGTAACCTTGTTGAATCAAATCCAAACATTGAGATGTAACTCAACAGATCTGAGAGTACTCTGGTTGCATTGCAGGAAATCAGACCAAGCAAACCAAATCTTACTTTTTTCCTTTTCATCACTCTTCCGTACAATAGGTTTCCTGTTAGAATTGACAGGAAATATATTTTAAAATGTCCCAAAGATTCTTTTCAAAAGGCAACTGGATTTCTTTGGCTTTTTCCTTGAAAATGTTTCACTTCTCATCCAAGAAACTTCTTCAGTTCTGGGAGCTTTAGTTCAGTTCAGCCAGAACTGAAAAAGTTTCTTGGATGAGAAGTGAAACATTTTCAAGGAGAAAGTCAAAGAAATCCAGTTACCTTTTGAAAAGCACCTTTAAAACAACCATAACCCGGATGATTGAGAATCTCCATATATGTGTGTGTGTGTGTGTGTGTGTGTGTGTGTGTGTGTTTTCTTAAGTTTTCACAGGTACTTACATGTATGGTATTCAGCTTTGTTCGGGTATTTTCCCATGTCATTATAGTTGTGCTTTTAAAGTTGTAGCAATGTTTTAAAGTTTTAAAGTTGTAGCAACATTTTAAAATTGTAGCAAACCTGTTCATGGAAGAATTTGAATCCAGAGCCCTAGCTAATGCTACCCACAAACCCAAACTATGGTTAAGATACATTGATGACACATATGTGATTTGGCCCCATGGAAAAGAAAACCTAAACAATTTCCTAACACACCCCACAATAAAGTTCACCATGGAAACGGAAACAAACAAACAATTACCATTCCTAGATGTACTAATCTACAAAAAAACAGATGGCACACTAGGACACACCATATACCAGAAGAAAACACACACCAACCGCTACCTCAATGCCCAATCCCACCACCACCCAGCACAGATAAACTCCGTGGCCAAAACACTAATCACCAGAACCAAATGCCTGGCAGACAAGACACACATAAAGACTGAACTATGCACCCTGACTAAAGTACTGACAGCTAACAGCTTCCACAAAAGCAAAATAACCGGCTTGATCCACAAAAACACACTGAGACATAATGGAGACCTAGAAGATGAACAGACCTATGGAACAGCTGTCCTGCCCTACATAAAAGGTAATACAGACAAAATCAGTAAGATACTACACAGGCATCACATCAAGACTGCCTTCAAAACAGACAGAAAAATAGCAGCCATCCTAAGAAACCCCAAAGATAAAATTGACCTGAAAAACCAAGGCATATATGAAGTCCCCTGTGCATCATGCCCTGCCACATACATTGGACAGACCAATAGAAGAATAAGTACCCACCTGGATGAACACAAAAATGCAGTAAAAAAGCTGGAACACACTTCCTCACTCGTCCAACACGTGAAAGCAACAGGTCATAGCATCCACTTCAATGGCACCAAAACCCTAGTCACTATAGAAAACCCCAGCTACAGAATTATCAGAGAAGCCATAGAGATTGAAAAAAGACCTGAAAGCATGAATAGAAGAGATGACTCCACCAGACTGTCAATTATCTGGAAGCCTGCACTCTCAAACAAAAAAATCTCCACACCACAAGCCAGGCAAACACCTGGGCACAAACAGATCCCCCCCTGATACCTCCAGCTCAAACACACCCCAACCAGGCACCCAGATGAAACCTAGCTTCCTAATAAATGATAGCCGTCCATTTACTCAGAGCCAAGCTGCACTAAAAGCCTCCAATACAGGAACACAATGTTGCTAGCCAATCAAGACAAAAAAAGCCACAAAACAGACGGAAGATATTAGAAACACCAATCAAGCAGAATGCAGCAAATTCCAAGACCAATAAACACAGACCAAGACTCCCAACCAATCAGGATGAAGAAAAAAACCATTCTGGCACAGCAGTAGGCTAGCCACAAATTTAAAACTGAAACGGCTGTGAAAGTCTGACTCACAGACAAACGCTATACAGAAGCCTGATGATGGCAGATGAGATTCTACTGAAACGTTGCTACAACTTTAAAAGCACAACTATAATGATGTGGGAAAATACCCGAACAAAGCTGAATACCATATATATATGTGTGTGTGTGTGTGTGTGTGTGTGTGTGTGTGTGTGTGTGTGTGGATTTTCTCAATGACTTGTTAAAGTTAGTGCTAGCCTTTTAATATCAGAAATGAAGAGTATAACCAACGACACAGTCAGCCTCCACCAAAAAGCTGTTTTCAGATTAGTAAGAATTTGTGAAAAATATTAACGTGAGTTTGAACCTATTTTATCAAGACACAAAGATCTTCTCTTTTAGATTCTTTGTTAAAGTTAAGTTTATTTGCTTCTCAAGATAACTTGCAATTTAGATCAATAAATATTACTGGAACTTTATAGCAATAACAATAGCACTTAGACTTACATACCCCTTCATAGTGCTTCACAGCCCTCTCTAAGTAGTTTACAGAGTCAGCATATTGCCATCAACAATCTGGGTCCTCATTTTACTGATCTCAGAAGGATGGAAGGCTGAATCAACTTTGAGCCGGTGAGGACTGAACCACTAGCAGTCAGCAGAGTTAGCCTGCAATACAGCATTCTAACCATTGCACCACCACAGCTCTTATGTTTTTCCTATCTTCCCATGTTCACAAACTCCTTTCCAAAATTTGATATTTGGTTGTACTATGTTTAAAGAGACTGTCTTACTAAAACCTTGGTGGATGAAGGAGAGCAGTTAAAATTATGTCAGTTGAAGATTTCCATTTTTCCCGAACTTCCTAAAAATAACATCAACAAATAATGGCACTTTTGTCATCAAATTGCATGTATATGAACTGAAAATTACAAAAAATGGTGTGATGGGGAATGCAACCTGATTTGCTTAGCCCTGATCTGCAGAATGGTTTCAAACACAAATTTTAAAACAAACAGTAACAAACAATAACAAATAGTAAATAAACAAGTATATTAATAACTTTTAGCTGCAAACCCAAACCTCATGAAAACATCAGTAGAACATACAGCACATAATTCTAACCATTTTTGAAACAGATATTAAAGTTGACAGAAATAAATATGACAAAAGTATCATAGAAAAAAGTCCATAGTCCTGGTACCATCAATGAAAAATGAGATGGTGTAATTCAATCTTCTTGATGACAAGCACAGAGACAGAAGCGTGAATCTGTTATATATTATTCACCCAAAACTCCATTCCTTCCCCTTCTTAGGATGGGCATTGTGTAAGGGCATACTGCAAGATTTCATGACAACTGGGCAGGATTCCAAATGATCCCTGCACTGATTATCAATCTGTTCTTTAGCAGATTCAGCTAGATTTATGTGTTTAAAGCTGAGAAGGACAAAGATGTGAGAAAATTAGAGGCTGTCTGCTTTTATGCCACAAATCCATACTTTAGGATCTAACAGAGAGGCCTTTTTTAATATCTCAACTGATGCAGGCTCAGTTCACATGGAAAAGAGAAAGGGAGAAGTTAGTGCTGCACTTAAATTGTGGAATATCCTACACCAGGAAGCAAGGTTGGTTTATTTGTATCATATAATTCTTGCTTTTTCCTCAGGATTCAAGCACATATTCACTGAGTCACAGCCTATGAGTTACCAGCTGGTCCAAATCATCTAAGTGAATTCTCTGTCAGTGAGCCATAAAGGAGATGCCACTTGTCTCCTCAGACTTCTTTCAAGGAAAGATACTCCAGGCTCTGTCCTTCTGGTGTGCACTGTGGGCAATCTCTCAGCATACACTACAAGTGATCAGCCTAGAGCCTTCCTGGTATACATTGGGAGTCTTCTAGGCTGACCAACTTCAGCACATGCAAGGCAATCCTGAAGCCACTGGGCTTTGGAGCACTTCAACCAGTGCCAGAAGAGAAGGCTGAGATCAGTAATGGTCCAAAGCGACTTTATTGAGATGAATCAAGTCAGGTCTTTGCTTTGACAACGTGAATACGGTTGCTTCACAGAATGAATAATGTCAATGTAATAAATCTAAATTGCTTCATACAAGCCTTATATCATTTTATGTCATCTCTAAATATAAGTTTTCCTTCTACCTCATCCAAATCACTAATAAAATTATTGAAGAGTAACATGCCCGGGATTGAACCCCATGGCACTCTAAGTAGTATTTTCTCTCTAATTCAATGAAGAATCATTAATGAGCATTGTCTGAGTTAAGTTTTTGAGCTAGCAATCTATTGAACTAATTCTCAAACCATTTAGCCTACGTTTAGTTTATTAGTTAAGCAGAATGCAATGGGTATGTTGTTAAATACATTACTGAAATCAAGATATATTATGTCACAAGCATTCTTACAATCATTAAGGAAGCTAGTAGTTCTTCATTAAAAAAATGAGATGAAGTTTGACAAAGCCATGACCCAAAGCACTTTTCTGATGCATATGAACTAAGAATTGATATACTGCAGGTTCTAAGGAAATGTGGGGCAATCAGTATGCTGGGTTCATTAGTTACCCTTTCCTAGATATGTTTCTTTCTAAAGGCACAAAGAATACTTACTTATCCAGGGTGATGTGTGCCCATGTTTACTCACTTCAAATACTCCCCTTCACTCATATAGTCCATAAAAGACCCTGTCAACTCAGCAAAATCTTCCAATACAAGACTGGTAGAGTCCTCACCAGACAGGTCACTGTCAGGCCGAGATTTCCTAGGATGCGTAGAATGAGACACAGTGCAAGGAACCACAGGAGCTGTTTGGCCAACTGCAGGTGAATCACCTACAGGCATCACTGGCTCTTCATACTCTGCCTTTTCCACCTCTGTGTCTGAAGCAGGTCCTAAGACATGATAGAGGCTGGGTAAGCGGATGTCAAACTGAAGGCCAAACTTAGCAAAAAGCTTTTCATTCAAGGCATAGAGCTTTTCTGAGATGTCATAGCCAAGGAGGACAGAGAAGAGACGGGCAATATAGTGCTCCTTAGCCAGAAGCAAATAGAGCTTTTCCCTTTGCCAAGTGATAAAATAGGAGTCAATCTCTGCTGTCAAAGTTGCCTGCCAAAGAAAGAAGAGAAAAAAAGTTCATTTGTTTGTTTTTAAGCATAATGAAGTCACTGTGTTACCTCATATTTTGTTAGATTTATTATACAAATATACAAGAAATCCACATTTTGAAATAAATTCATATTCAATATACTGTTTATTTGTGTGCATTATCATCTTTGAAAATGAGTTTTTGCAATACATTGGTCAAGTATTTCTTGAATAGTTTGGAACACAATGTATCAGGTTTGTTGCAAATGTATTTTTACATTTCTACTTTTAAAAAGCTCAGTTACATTGGGAAAGTGGATTGATCTTTGAGGTTCACAAAAGCAAAGGAAGCATAGAGAGCATCTCTTTATTTTGAATGAGGATAAATAAGAACATAAGCAATGCCCAGTTGGGCAGATTTCCCTGTCCCATCTAGTCTGTTCTCACAGTGCCATACCAAGGGCAGGAGGAAGCTCACCAGTCTCACAGCAGATGTTCTTTAGAGGTAGTCACACCATTATTAAGGCTAGTAGCTTTGACTTCCATGTAACCTCTAGTCCCCTAATCATCCTGGTTGCTCTTCTCTGCACTTTTTCTAGAGCCTCAACATCTTTTTTGTAGTGTGGTGATCAAAACTGGATGCAGTACTCTAGGTATAGTCTTACTAATGCCTTATAGAGTGTATTAGTACCTCACTTGATCTTGATTGTATCCCTCTGCTAATGCAACTTAGGGTTGCATTGGCTTTTTTGGGTGAGGAAGTAACTTGGAATACAAGTAAAGCAGAACTGCTTAATTCATTTTTTGCATCTGTACAAACCAACTTACCAAAAACAGAACCATAAAAGATAGACTAGGAATGCAAATTAAAATAAGCAACTATCAGGACACCTATCAATGCTAGACAGATTCAAATAACTGGTCCTGACAGATTACATCCCAGAGTTCTGAGGAAACTGACAGACAGAATCTCAGAACCATTGAACCACATCTTTCAAATTTCTTGGAACAACGGGGAATTACCTGAGGACTAGAAAAGAGCTGGTGTGGTTCCCATCTTCAAAAAAGGGGAAAAACAAATCCAGGAAATTACAGATCCATCAGCCTGACATCAATGCCAGGGAATATCTTGGAAAAGATAATCAAGTAACAAATCTACAAACACCTAGAAGCAATATTAAAACCAGAAGCGAACATGGGTTTGTCAAAAACAGATCACACCAAACAAATCTGATTTCACTCTTTGACAAAGTGACTAAATTAGTAGATGAGTGAAATGCTGTTAATAAAGTGTCAACTCTCAAAACGACTTTAGCTGAAGCCATATTCCTTTTACTTTGTTTCTTAGTTGCCATACAAAGGTGGCGGGGGGGACGGACTATGGGGTGTGGGATAATTTCCTCCCAGTTGCCAGACATAAGACCCATGGGAATCAAGGTTATCTCAATGAGAGCTCGTAAGGCCTGGAAGGAATAGCTGAGCAGCCTACCATCTACCTGGTTAGTTAATATGACCAGTATGTTAGGGGAGTGGGTGATATCTATTTCTTTTGTTATATTAAAAATGCAGGAAATATTTACAGTTGGTTTCACATTTGAACATGGTGATATGATGTACCCAATAAAATAGAACTTTGAGAGAAACCACAGCCTCGGAGTCTTGAATCGATTGGAGTCATTACTCGGAACCTTGAAACATAGTATATTTAGATTTCAGTAAAGCATTCGATAAAGTAGACCACAACCTACTTCTTGGCAAGCTAAAAAAATGTGGGATAGACAGTACCACCACCAGATGTGTTTGTAACTGGCTAACAAATCATATTCAACATGTAGTCCTCATGTAGGGAAGTAAGTGGTGGGGAACCCCAAGGTTCCAATTTTGTCCCAGTACACTTTAATATCTTTATGAACAATCTAGATGAGGGAATAGAAGGGGAAATCATCAAATTTGCAGATGACAATAAGCTAGCATGAATAGCTCAAGATCCAAAAGGATTTTGACTGACATGAAAACTGGGCCCTATCTAACAAAATAAAATCCAATGTAGACAAAAATAAGATTTTACACTTAGACAAGAAAAAACCAACTGTATAGGTACAGGCTCAGTGAAACTTGGCTTAATACCAGTAATTTTGAGAAAGATCTTGGAGTCCTAATGGACAATCACTTAAATATCAGCCAACAGTGTACGGCAGCAGTCAAAAAAGCCAATGCAATCCTGGGTTGCATTAATAGAGGGATAGAATCAAGATCATGGGAACTTCTAGTGCCATTTTATGGAGCCTTAATAAGACCACTCTTGGAATACTGTATCCAGTTCTGCTCACCACAATATAAAAAAGATGTTGAGACTCTGGAAAGAGTGCAGAGAAGAACAATGAGAATGATATAGCTGGGGGCTATAACATATGAAGAATGATTACAGGAATCGGGTATGTCTAGTTTAATGAAAAAAAGGACCAGGGGAGATATGAAAGCAGTGTTCCAATATTTGAGATGCTGCCACACAGATGAGGGTGTCAAACTAATTTCCAAAGCACCAGAAGGCAAGACAATGTATGGAAACTAATCGAAGTGGGAAGCAACCTAGAACTAAGATGAAATTTCCTGAATGTAAGAAAAATCAACTAGTGGAATGGCTCGCTATCACTGGAGACTCTATCACTGGAGAAGAAACTGGACAGCCATTTGTCTAATGGTAGAGGGCAGGGTCTCCTGCTTGATCAGGGGGTTGGCCTACAAGATCTCCAAGGTTCCTTCCAACCTTGTTATGCCTTTTTCTATCAGGACCTGAGAAAACACTAGTGCAATTCATGAAAAGTTAATTTGCTTAATTACTTAAGGAAATACAGGTTGCTAGCATGGATTTATCAAGATAAATCTTGTCAAACTAAATTTGCTTCATTTCTGGACTGGGTTACTTTTTTTATAAATTGTGGGAATACTCAGCAATTTAGCTTCCTTTCAACAAAGTGTTTATATATCATGGCATTCTGATTAGCAAGCTGGTTGCTAACTGTGGACTGGATGGTATGACAATGAAAGAAATGTGTCAACTGGCACTCTAAAATACAGCAAGGCAACCCACAGACCATAGACCATAGATAGCTTGAACTACACCCCCCCCACACACACACATATCTTTGAGGTCAATCATATGTTAACTCTACAACATGTTCATAACATTTTTCTGCCACTCTTTTGCTTATATCTAGTCCTGCAAAAATCCTCTATATTTCTTGCCTAGGCTTATGGATTGCCTTCTCTTAATCAAGTTCAGCATATAGCTGAATTAGAAACGAGAGCTGCTGTCTGGATAAGTTTCTTTTCTCTTTACTTGCTGAGGTTTGCTAACAAAATTCAGCAGTAACTATGGCATCTTTCTCTATAACTATTACATCTTATTCACCTCACTCTCACACCCTAATCTCTCCACCCTGAAAGCTTGTAAACGAGAAAGCCATTTTGTGGGTGCACTATCATAACAACGCATTGTTGCTCTTTCCTTCTTCCTGTGCATTATGAGATCACTGCCAATGTGCGCAGGCAGAGCTTCATGTTGCCTGAAGGCAGCATCTTACACAACAGGAGAAGGATTCTAATTGAGCTTATTATGAAATTAGTGGCCAATAACATTAAGAGTAACTATTGTTAAATAAATTGATGTCATAAGTCTTTGGAAAGTGAAATTAAAATAATGACAAAGTATTTTTAGGGTTTTTTATTTTGAGTATATGATATCACAATAAAATGTGCAGATGAGATGAAAGGATTATGAAATTGTAGTTGATTAAAAGTTGAATATTAGTCAGCAGCCAGTTCAGTTGTAAGATACATCAACTGAAATATTGTTTCCAAATCATGATTCTTGACTCTTGATGAATGTATCTGTTCTGTTGCGGGAAAAGACCTGACTCAAGACCAGTGTGATTTCAGCTCTTTATTTGCTCTCAGTAACTTCAACAAAACCGGAGCCGTGGCAGCCTCTTTTATAGCGGCTGCTCGCGGCTCGCGGCCAATGATGGCTCCTTAAAATTCCCACCATCAGACGGACCAATTAAAAGACAAGATTACAAGTATTCAATACGGACCAATCAAAGGCAGTATTTAGGACAAATCAAAAGGTAGCATTGACGGACCAATCACAATGTGGTATTTCAAGTATGCAAATATATAACACCCCTCCCCACTTGGTTTGGTCCAACCTACGTTACGTAGTCATGTAAGTAGGCGGGTCTTCTATGGTTCCTACTTGACCTGCTCAATTCAGTTGTGGTGTTGTCTTCGGCCGGTTCGGACGGGATCACTGTTTCTCCCATCTTTCTCTGTGGAACCTCCTGGAAGGGTGAGTCAGCCATGCCACTCCCACCTGGTCTACCCGGGCTGGTTGAGTCGGCTCGGTTGCTGCTCCCGCCTGGTCTACCCAGGCTGGTTGAGTCGGTTCGGCTGCTTCCTCCAGGAGCAGCTTCGAGTTGACTTTCTGCTACCTGCTCCCTTCTTCCGAAGTCATCTTCAGATAAGTAATTGTGATTTCTTACCAGGGCTACTGGTGGTGTTGGTTGGCGGGTTGTTGTTATGTTTTGTTTTGTTGTTTGTCGTGTTAGTGCGGGGTCTCCCCCTCCCCTTTCATTTGTGTTTGAGGGATCTCCCCCCTCTCTGGCTTGGTTATTATTATCTTTTAATGTTTGATGTGGCTCTTGTGTGTGTGTGTGTTCTTCTCCTTCGCTCCTGGGGTTGTCGGTATTTCTTTCTAGTGTTCTAGACCTCAGTTCGTCTATGTGTCTCCTCCAGTTTCTTCCGTCATCCGTCTCTAGTCTGTATGACCGGGTTCCCATTATTTGGGTTATCCTAGCCGGTATCCAAAGTGGGTCCCCGGTAAGTTTTTTGCATATACCAAATCCCCTGTTCCAAATGCGCGGTACTTACTGGAGGAGTCTGTTGGCTTTTCAGGGTTGTATGTGGGGTGTAATCTATCCAGGTGAGACCTTAGTTTCCTGCCCATTAATAGTTCTGCTGGG